TCCTATTTTGACGTCCGGTAATGAGTCGGCTATCTTAGAATTGAAGCAGACATTTGGTTTAGAAATGATCGAAGATAACCGAGATTTTGCATCCGCGTTAAGTCATCCTACTGCTTCCATTGTACAAGAATATGTTCCCCCTCAATCATCCGAACAACTTGATAATATCTTGGCTATTTGTGGCCCGTTTGCTCAAGCTCCCGAATCCCCAGAAACTTCTGCATTTATTTACACAGAAGGAGTTAAAGCATTCTTAAATATTACAGGCCTAACCACCCCTGAAGCTAAAATTAAAGCATTTGCAACGACTGCGATTAATGCGAAAGGAAATAGGGATTTGGCTTCCTTTACTTATCAGTATTGTACTGAATTAGGTTATTATCAAACCGCTCCAAAAAATCCTTTGCTATCAATTCGTTCAAAAATTATAGATATCAGTTATTATCAAGGACAATGTGATTTCATATTTCCCGGAATAGTTTCTTCTCCAATGATTAATAGAACAAATAAGAAATTTGGTGGTTTTAATGGAAATTTCTCGAAAACCATTTTCGTTAATGGTGACATGGATCCTTGGACTGCGTTAAGCGTTAGTAGTGATTCGGTTAATCCAAAAACCGCCGAAGAAAATAGTATTTTCCTTATTAAAGGTGGTTCTCATGTAACTGAATTTGATCCACCTTTACCTTTTGACTCTGACTCATTAAAAGAATCGAGGATTTTTGTTCGTGACACTTTGGCTAAATGGTTGAACGAGTAGCCGATAAAAACTAACTTTTTCACAAGAATGAACATTTTATTACTGCGCAACAATTTTTACTTAATTACTATTCTAATGTATAATACTTCTAATTAGCTCGAAAAAATTAATTTACTGTTTATGTAATTTTATGTAATTTTACTATTAATTAAAAAAAAATAAAGTGTTTGAAATGACTCGGGGTAAATTTCCCAAGAAAAACCTTTTTATATACCGTATATTTTTGTAAATAGGATTAATTCGCTAGACTTGTATGATAAAATTCTAACCTATTTTAAACATTGTGATATGCCTACCTTTTCAAGAATTATAAAGGAAAAACCGTTATTTGTTTTACAAATACAAATGGATGGTCCATTTTATGTAATTAAATTGGAGAGCCAACTTCTCAAAATATGTATAAAAGAAATTGGCAACTGCAGCAAGGCAAGGAAATTCATTGCCGAAAATGGGATTTGTGTATTGACTTTATATAAATAAATTTATTTATCTTAATTATTAAAATGATAAAATTATTATTAAAAATTTAATTAATAATATAAATAAGGTTGCTAGACGAAACCTAGAAGTTTTGCAAGTCATCTAAATGGTAAAAGGTAAAATTTAGCAAAATTATATTAAAATCTTATTAAAAAAAATTCGCGAAATACAGAAAAAGGTAAAACTAAATAAAAATAATAAAATTAGCAAATTAGACATTTTGCTAAATCAAAAATAGGTATCGTTTACTCCAGTCCCATAAAGATATCAAAATATTTTGTATTTAAATGTTGGTCAAAAAGTGGCTATATATCAAAAAATTACCTATCATCTAATAATAGGAGACCACTGTGGAATGTTAGAATTAAATTAATAATAAATGTTTATTATATGAATTTTTTTAAAAAATTAAAAATTAATAATTTTTATATTTTAATTAAAGTTGAATTAGCTAAATCTAATGCTAACGCCAATGCTAAAGTTAAAGCTAAAATGTTAATTCTAACACTAATACTAATGTTAAAGCTAATAATAAAATTAATGACTAGAAAATGTTTTCAGAAAATATTATTAAGTTCAGAGTACAAGTGTAATGAAGGGACCAATCACATATTGACTCAAATTTTGAGCAGGCAGATAACAGAATATCTTGTGTAATATGTGAAAGTCCTTCACTTCACTTCAGACTAATAATATTAAAATTAAAGTTAACATTTATGTTAAAACTAATAGTAATACTAATCTTAACATAGCTATCTTTATTATTATTATTATTATTATTCATTATTATCAATATTCTATATCTTAATTTTTTTTTATATTTTTTACACACTACTAAATTAATTTTTTTTTATTATTCAATATATAATTTTGATGAAAAAATCAAAAAAATTTTTCTTTTTTTATTAAAAAAAATTTTTATTTTTAATAGAAAGGTCAAAAATTTTTTTTAATAAATTTTTTAATAGGAAATCAAAAATATTTTTTTTAATAAAAGATTATCTTAATAAATAAATAAAACATATTTTTAATTTTGAAAATTAAATTAATATTTTAAAAATAAAAATCATTTTAGTAATTTAAAATATAAAATATTTTCAAATTAAAGCTTTTAATAATTTAATATATTAAATAAAAAGTTTTAATTTAAAGAAAAAATATTTTAATCAAGTTAAAATTAAATTTTTATAATATTATAAACTATATATAAATTAAATATACTATAAAATTTATATATAAAATTAGTTTGCAATTAAAATTAAAATTTAATTTAGAAAATTATATAAAATAAAATAATCAAAAGATAATTAAATAATCAGATAAACAAATAACTGAAGAATTAAATAAAGTAACTTTTATCAAAATCTATATAAATCTGTAAAGAATATACTTAAAAATAAAATAAAAATGATTATATATACATATTATAATTTATTACAGTCAATTCTTGATATAAAAAACTCTTGATATAATGAATTTTTTAAATAAATATAATAAAAAAACTCTTGTTATAGCAAATTGGCCAATTAAATCTCTTAAAATCTTCACTATAACTTTATAGTTAAGATTTAGGATATAGAGTTCATTATAATAAGAGTTGACTATAAATATATATTTTTTATTTTTCTAAAATTAAGATCTTAGCATATGATATCATTTTTTATTATTTACAAATATCATAAATGATGATTATCAATAATTGTTTATTAGTTAATTTTATTTCTTAGAAAATAAATAAAAGATCTCATAACTTTATTTAATTTTTATTTTAACTTTTTTTTTACTAAATAATTATTTTTTATATTTTTTTTATTTTTAAAAAAGAAGAAATCAAAAAATAATTAAAATTTTATTATTTTAAAGAATCTTAAAATGATAATTCAAAAAAATATGAATAGGTTTATGTTTAAAATATGATTTATGTTATTATTATATTAAAATAATGACTTATTTTTTTACTTTCTTTTTTTATTTTTCTTTTAGTTCCTTTTTTTTTTATTTTTCTTCTAATTTTTTCTATTATTTTTCTTTTCTTTTATTTACTCTTATGTATTTTTTAATATTATCTCATATCATTTTATTTTTTTTTTTTCCTTTTTTTTCTTTAAATTCATTCTCTTTTTTACTTCTTTTTACTTCCTTTATTTTATTATCTTCTTTTAATATTTCTACATTTCTTTTATCCTTTCTAATTTTAACTGTTTTTTTTATTTATTATTATCTTCTTAGATGATCAGAGAGATAATAAATTTTAATTCATTAGATATCTTTATTGAATCTTTCTTTTTTTTTAATTAGTAATCTAAATTAATAGATTTTAATCCTTCTAATTTTTACATTACTATTAGCTATAATTTTATTTCTTTTCCCTCTATCTCTCTTTTTTTTGTCATCTTAGCCAGTATTAAAAAATTAAAAAATTATAATTAAAATATTAAATTAAAAAATTTTAAAATTAGATTCATTTTTTTAATAAATTTTATTAAGATATTTATCCTTTAATAAGTATAACTACAATACAAAGGTTGCAATTAAAATATTTTCTCTTTTGTTATTTCATTTGTATTATTTAGTCAAGAATTTATATTCTTATTTATTTTTAAATAAATATATAAAAAATTTTATTATGCTTTTTTTATATATTTCAATGATGTTTAAAGTGATCTTTTCTTTTTTATTTATTTTTAAAAATTATATTTATTTTCACATTTTTTATTCATCTTGAATGAGCTATTATATTTGAAATATAGTTATTTAAGTTTTTACTGAATAAAGCTTATCATTTTTATATAGTATTAAGGAGAAATAATTATAGTTTAAATTATAACTAACTAAACATAAGTATTAAAAATGATAATTGCATATTAATATTTACTAATACTAAAAAATAAAAAATCTTGTAAATTTTATGAAAAATATTTTAATAACTTTATTAACTCTTGAAAAAATAATTCATTCAAAGTGACTTCTTTTAATTTTACAAATTAATTCTATCAATAAACAAACAGTTATTAAGAAAAATATTCTCAAACTAATTAAAATAAGATTTTTAGCATGTAAAAGTAAAATAGACAAATTTCTTTGAAATACTTAAATACATTTAAATACCATATGTTGACCTAATATTTTAAAATATCACATCACATAACATGATGAAAAATGAATTATTCTTATAACTTAGTAATCAATATTTTAACTTTTAAATATCATTTTGAATTAATGTAATTTTTTTTAATATCTTTTTCAAATGGCTTTGTTTCCTGTTGTAACCTTTTAATCCTTCTTGTAATACTACTTGTATGTCTCATTCTATTTATGGTGATTGTGTGTAAATTTATTATAAACTTTTTTTAGAAAAATAAGAATCATCACGTGGTGTGTGTTTGTAATTTCCAGATAGGGATTGGAATCGATCCTACTTTTATCTTATAGTGGCGCAATAAGTGAAGCTATAATAATTTAAAAAAATAAAATATTTGATTGATGCAATGATCAAAAAAAGCAAATGATGCAAAACCTTACCTAATGATTCTAACTTGAAAGAATTAAAAGAAAAATGATAAACAAAGCGCGAAAAATTAAAATGATTGATCGCAAACCAGAAATCTTAAAAAAATAAAAAAATTTACAAAATTAAAAAAAAATATGAAACCAAAAAACTATACATACAAAAAGCACACACCCCGTATTTTCAAGCGAGTCAAGCCTAAAAAGGATCCTAATGAATTTATAAATAATAATAAATTAAATAAATATAGTTCTATCTCTGTAACCCAACGCGAAAGAACCCAAATTAAAGGAAAAGTAAAAAGTTAATAAAAAAAAATAAACACCCGTAATTCCGAAACGATCGACTCAATCAGAGGTTCTGCATACATCAGATACTCTAGCGTATCCTAATATCGATAATCTAAACATATCTGTACAGAAGTGATATTAGTGTACAAAACTTTAGAACTATCAATCAACCGTCTGTTTACTTACACCCTCAATCTTCCCAATACCTTCAAGAATACGGCTTCGAATTTTATTGGTAGAATTGCTTCAGCTTTGTTACTTTGTGTTACAGGCTAGACCATTCTTCTCTGAACCAGATGTACATATCACCTAGAAATTCGGATGACAATCTACGATGGAAGACAATCCAAGCCTACTCAATAGATCTCTTCGTTATATTTTTAATAATTAAACATATACATAATAACGCTCACTGTATAAGCGATCAGCCATTATTTATAGAATTTTTTAATGCTGATTGTGAGAGGACATTTCTGATGAATTCTCCCCATTCTGAATTACTGAGTTGATCTACTTCATCAAAAGATGAAAATTTTTTGTTGATAGTAATTTCAGATTCTTCGTCATCAGCTCTACTTTCTCTTCGCTTATCTTCATCTTCAGATTTGATATCTTTCAAAAATCTTAAATTAAAATCTTCATAATCTCCACGTTTGTTAGTAGGTACGTCATCGCCAGTTGACTCAAAAAATTTTAAAAAAAATGAAAAATAATAATAAAAATTAAAAAGAATAAAATAAAACGAAATATATAAAATTAAAATAAACGAAACGAAATTAAAAACTATTAAAATAAATCAATTAAAAAAATCACGTCCGAAAAAAAATTTAATTATTCGCTAATTAAAACAAAAAAATTTCCGATTGTAGTATTCGTAGAATTTGACGATTACACTGGTCCTGCAATTACGTCTGCAGAAGGCAAAAAGGTTATTCCAATTCCACCTATACGACATACCTGGAAGACGAATTCAGGACTTTGCTCACGCTTACAAATTCCTGTTAGCCTTTCCTGTGCTATCATTGTTCATAAATCCAAGAGCTAACACTATCAAAAGCCGTTATTGATATCGGAAAAAAAGAATATATTTGGGTCTATCATTTGTTGCAGTATCTCAAGTTCGTGCTCTTGAGAATATTCTCTCTAAACCGTTCTCATTTGGTAGGCTTCACCGAATTAATAATAGTAAAAGAATGCATGAACGGAAAATTGAAGAGAATGTATGATAAAATGGTTTCTTATCAAAGTGATGTTTTTAGTTTTAATGATACCATAATATATCTAGAACAATGTCAGATATTTAATATTTCCAAATTATATTAGTATGACGAAATGTAACATCGGACCCACAACGGGTCCCGTTTTACTAGTTTTAACCAAAATTCAATAAATTACCTTAGCAAACGAATGTGTATTTTATATATTGAATTCGATATGGCTTACTAATTTCTCTTTTCTAAGCATGTTTCATTGGGGCGCGCTGTCAACTAATTAAATCAAAACTATGTACAGTCCTATAACAAAAATTACTATTGAAGATTTTTTTTATATATAAACAAATACATTGTAGTAAATCTACATGTTATTTTATAGTATAATTTAAATTATTTTATAATAAATTTACTATTAACGAAGCTATATTTTCTTTTTTTTAATAACTCTGGATCCTTCTTATCATTTTCATTTCAGATTTTTCGAAAATACTCCAAATATCCGTCTCTTTCACAAAATAGAAGGCTTTTTTTTTAAAAAAAAATTCATCAATACTCCGAAATTAATAAATTAAACTTTCTAAATAAAATAAAACTTTTTTTAACGTGAGTTTTGAAAAAAAACGATGTATTTTATGTTTCTTAAAGTTATCATGTACCCATTCAACTTTACTGCGTTACTTAAATATTAATAGAGTACAAGTTATTAAATTTTAAAGATTTCGGTTATTTTATTAGAATTTTATTAAAAAAAATGGCTAGCAAAGCCCGATCGTCAATAAATCTCTAATAGTAAAGTTTTACTATAGGACCATATATAGTTTTGTTAAACTATGTTGACAGCGCACCCCAATGTTTCATGTACATGTATTTTCATTTTATCCAAAATCAATCTAAAAATAATACCGGGAGGTTAATTATTGATTTAAGGAACGAAATTTATTTAGAATATTTACATTAAATATTTGTAAAACATCGAATCAAAGTTTTTGCCGGTTACTATGATCAAGTTAGCCGAGTTCCATTCATTATATAAATTTATACAATTCATGGTCGATAAGAGTTTTCTATTGACTCGTCTAGTAAGCATTTGGACTATTCCATTTTAAAAAAATTAATATTAAACAATTAGAATTGCTGATCAACTGTTACTAAATTCCACATGACTTCTGGAATGTAAGCAAACTCCCCCCAGGAACACCCATCAAAAAATCCTCGGACACGTGATTTTAGATACACGTGATGTGGCTTAGTTTAATATATATGGTTATAATAAAAATAATTTAATTTACTTAATATATGTATTACATTAATGCTACGAACTAACCCTAATTCCACGCAATTAATCGCAAATGTTACGCGGCTGGTCCGACTTTTATAACAAACCTTTCCTTCCGAACCCTAATGCCACGCCCTAACCCTAATGCTACGCTACTACTTGCAAATACTGCACAATTATATTTAATAAAACTCGAAAATTATAAGTTTTCTTAATAAGCATATATTTATTTTATAAAAATTTATATTTATTACAAATAACGAGTATTATAAATTTTATACATCGCGATTACTGTGGAAAAATAAAGATTGATATGGAAATATAAAGAATAGTATGAATTTATGAAAAAATAAAATATTGGGAGTGATGCATTTTGTCACTTCGTATTCATTGCTTACGATAAATTGATCACCCGTGAAGTTACTATAAATAATTATCACTAGCTACTTAAACGAGGGTGTTATCAAAACATTTCTTTATAAGATAATAATAATGGGAAAATGTTAGATGGTTACAGCCCGAAACGATCGATCCCGAAGAGTAAAAAATAAAAATAAAAAAAATAAAAAAAGTATACCTTTCTCTTTCTTGCTTCCAACATGAAAATGGAAGTTAAGGAACTGCAGACTTAAAATAAATTTAAAAAAAGTAATTTTAAATGAAAATTAAAAAAGAAATCGCATAATTAAATGAAAAAGTAATCAAAAAAAAAACTCAATTATTACTGGAAAAATAATCATCTTCCGATACCTTAAAGCTGCGTGTCCTAGAGCAATATTGAAAAAAAATTCGAAAAAATTATTGAAATATTTTTAACAAATTAAATGTTAAACGCGAACAGAAAAACAATAAAAAAAGGAAGCGTGGGAATTTTAAATTTGTTCAACAAAAAGCATATCTTATATCCACCCCAAAATCAAATCACGTGTACCTAAAATCACACGTTTCCGAGGAATTTTGATGGTGTTCCTGGGGAAGATAATGTAAGCACATACCAAATAAAACAGTTCAATCCTCTCCATTAATATTAGCAGAAAGAAGCAGTTAAACAAAAGCTAAGAGATGGGAAATAGTCATTGATATATGTGATAAATGAAGAATTAATTATTTGTATAGAAATATTTATCGACCAATTCTTTTTCTTAATTAACAAAAAAAAAAAATACTTTTATCAAAATAAATAATTTTTCAAATGAAATTATATTGCAAGATTCGTCAATATGATAAAAAAAAAAAAAAAGAATTATTGAACCAATTTTTAAAATTAAAACCTGCTCGATAAAATAATGTATTGTTTTGGAAACTTTGTTCTAATTTAAAATAAAAAAAAAAATGTTTTTATATTCTACATTGTGATACATTAAACTTTTAAAACAGTCAAATCGCAAAGTTGTTATCGAAACTTTCGAGACCTATCGAAACTATTGAAACCCATCGAAACCCATCGAAACTGTCAAAATAATTTTTGAAAAGTTTCGACTTTTGTCATAATGGGTTTAGAGTTTTGCCCCGCAAATAACTACCAACAATATAGACAATCTTTGTAAAACTTAGATTCGCAACACCATGGTTGATTCCATACAACTCCGTACATACACATACATTCTTGCCTTTTTACCAAGCTTGAGTGTTTCTCACTAGAAGGAGCTGAGAAAGCAACATTACTGAAAGCTGAAATGACGATAATAAGCATGAAAATGTGAATTTTCATGATGACTTTGGAAGTATTTGAAGGATTAATATCACAAATGTTTTTATAATATGTGAATTTTATAAACAGAATCTTGTGAAAATGTAGCTTAAATACGTGTATTTATAAGCAAATCAGATTAGAGTTACAATTTAAATTATTTGATGTCTATTGACAATGTGAAAATAAAATTTCCTCACTTTATATAGTTTTTTTAAGTATCAGGCTTACTAGGCTTATCCTTAAGATACTTGCTATAGATTCTCATAAAGAGCGTTACAACCTTTACAGCCTCTCAAATGCTGTAATAAATATTTGCAACCAATCACACAATTGTAAATCCTAAATATAATTTGTTCAACACATCATAGATCAATTCCGGCCAGTTCGCAAATGGAATATTGATGTTGTAATGGCATTGTTTGCAGTAACTAAGCAAAAGGCTTTAGTGATGAAAACTAAGCCAAAAGGCATTTTTAACGGTACTTAAGCCATGTGTTAATAAATATTCAAATTCCTTTTTTATTTCAATAACATTATATATTTAAATATGTAGTAAATAATTAAATAATAGATACTGTTTACGTCTAATATAATTCCGCCCGAAAGATCACGATTTACACTTGTAAATTGCTTTCGATGGTTGTGGCTAGTCTTTGTAGATCATTTTTTGACAAAGGTTTTTTATTGAGTAAAAATGAATTAAAATTGAGGCTAACTTTATTTAATAATATCAAGTTAATCAGTGTTTCCTCAACGTCTGCGCTCTACACTTTCGCAATGTCAATATATTAAACTAAATAAATACCCAATCAATAAAACTCTAATTAATTAAAACTGCACAATCACGAAAAATTGAATAATAAAATAATAAGAAAATCGGGAATTAAAAAAAAATAAACAAAGTTACAATAATAAATATAAATGTTAAAACGACGAAACGAAAATATCGCGAAGGGATTAAAGGAAGGTTTAAGTTGTATATATACAATATAAGAAGGGCGAGCGTGGAATGTTAAGTTGTTTAAGAATTTCCAGCTCATATTTATAAAAAAAAAATAATGATTAGGACAGCCTGGCACACTGCCATTTTTTCATCCTAACAACCTGGCACTGTGACAAAGGACTAAATGCAAATATCGAAAACAATTTACATACAAAATTATGGCGAAATTATACTCAATGTAACAGTTCATTTACAAAGTTGATGGAACACCCAAATGAAGAGTGGTACAATTATGAAAGTAACATTTTAAATACAAATGGTTTTATTTTCGAAGAGTTTTTAAACTTAGGGCAATTTTGAGAAGTACTTTTAATAAAAAAAAAAAATTCAGGTCAGCTTTGTTATAATGAAGTGCTAAAATAAAATCTCATTTGAAAATAAAAAATTAAGATCCCATAATTTTTGTTTTTCGAAAGGTAAATAATAAGAGAAAATTAAAGTAGAATTTTCGATCAATTTTTGTAACGATCATGATAAAACTTGGCCAGCTTCAAGAAATACGTAAATTTTAACATATCCTATGTTCTCTCCTTTTTATAGTAAATTGCACGTGATAATTATGACACGTTTAATTCCCTCATTAATTAAAAATAAAAAAAATTATTAAATATAAACGGTGAGGAAACTAAAATAATTCCTAATATATTAAAATACTTGTTTAAATGTATCTTCAATTATTATTGTAAAAGCAAAAAATTTTGAATGTAATTTATTTATTTATTTTATTTTTTTTTTGTATTGGTTTTATTTGAACCCAAGTATAAGAGAATTCAAATGATTTTGAATAAATCTCATGATATTGCTGGGAATCGATGAAATCATAATTTTTCATTTTTCATAAAGTAATAATAAATTGTCGGTACAAATTACATACATGTATCTATGGAACTTGATTAAACGTACATTAATTTAGCTTGAACTTCAACGTGATATTATCTGCTTTTACGTGATAACTTCAAAGCAAAGTATAAATATATTTTAAAAATAATTAATTTTATTCTATTTTTTCTTTTTTTTTTAACTCTTTCACATATCTTTAAAATATTTCCAAAGTTGGATCAATTTTATTGATTTAGAAACATTCAAGTAGTTGATTATAAAGAAAATGTTCAAAAGATCTACACGTGATTTTCACTTGAATATTTTTTAATTTTTTATGATGATATATTTTTACCAAAATAAATTGCGTAACCCGTGATAATACCGTTAAAGAGCACATTTTCGCTAATTCTTTAACCTTTTGAAAATTACTTTCTCCTTTATAAAAAATAAATCTTTATTGAAAATTTTTATGATGTGTTGTATAGCATACACTTTCTTTAATGAAAATTTTTTATTAAAGAATTTAATAATTGGATATGTAATTAACACAATCACGAAAATAATAGCATTTTGACGCGGTAAATGAATTTAAATAAATAAAAAAGGTTGTTATCTAAGTTACAAAGGTAAATTTCTATCATTATAATAAGCAATAGCTTGAGTATGCTGTTTATAAACAGCCAATCTCATGTACTTTTCACCCAATTCAACGTTCTTTATACCAGAATTTTCAAAGTTGCAGCATTATAATTACCAATAACTTGGCCATTTTCGGCGGCCTTGGTAAAATAATCGGTAGCTTCTTTTAAATCCTTTTTAACTCCAGTACCTATAAATAAACAATTACCGTAACGTAATTGAGCTTCAGGATCACCTGAATCCGCTACTTCTTTATATAACTCTGCCATTTGTTGTTTGATTCATATCAAGTTTAACAAATTTTGATTAATGCAATATGCTTTATAGTATTTTGCTTTCATATCATATTATCTTGCATTTTCTTCATTCACAGGATTTTCAATATTTATTGGCGATGGTGCATTTCTTTAAAAAGATCTTGATCTTGTAAAGTGGTAAAGATCTAAGAAAATTGAGGCCTAAAATTATGGTCATATTAAACAGCTTAGTAAATTTACAGAAGTTTGAAATTTTAATATAAAAAAAAAAGATATCTAGCATATTAATACCTTATTTGCAAGTTCTTGATAATCTTTTGACAAAGGAGTACCTAGAGAAAAAGCTCCCGATATTTTTGTTGCAAACAAGATTAGTGATCTCGAGGATATCATCATATTTCTCATAAGGAGATTTTCTTCGGAAATTTCCCATAGTAGTATACCAAAACTATAAACTTCATACTTGGTGTCATATTTTGACCTTTTCTCTAATTTTTCTGGTATGCTACCGGAACAGCTTCTAGTGTGGCAGCTTGATTTTCTGTACCATCAGTAATTGTTCGATTTGATTTAGAATTTGCAATCTTGGCCAACTTCTGATAGGTATTTTCGGCTCAAATATCGCGATGAACGATCTGAAAATGACAAACGATTTCTTTTAGAATTAAGGGATGATAGAGAATTTTAAGTAATAATAGTAATATTAATATTAAATTACCAGAGCCCAGGAAATTCAAGACTTTAGCAATTTCAAGAGCAAATCTTAATTTCACCTTAACTTTAAGTTTACCATGCCGTTTATAATATTCACGTAAATTTCATTATCAGCCCATTCAGTTACCAAGTAAAATTTATCATCATACGCAGTTAAAACAAAAATTGAATAATACAATGACATTAACCATTTTTGTAACTGAATGAGATTATGTTCTGAAAAAAAATTCTACATTCTCATCTCTACGATTTTTTTAAATTCCTTACGGCAGTATCAGCTATTTGGACTTTATCCAACAATATCCCACATATTCTTTTATTATGCTCAGCTGATTGATACATTTTATAATTTCATTAAACACTTGAGTTACCTCCGTTATAAGTGGTAAAAAACTTCAAAACGATACCATTACGCTGTTTATAATATCTAATGTGCCGACAGCATATGATCCCTTAGTAAACGTTGTTTCTACAAGATAAGATTAAATGATTTTATAATAAAAATGTTAATAATTATGTATATTGAACCGTTATATATATAAAAAAAAAATTTTCTTTACCATAATTAGTATTTTCGACAATCGAACCTGGCGTAATTTTAATTTTTAGTAATGAAAAAATTTTAACAATGAAAGAATTTTTGAAAATTATTAAAGAAATGTAAATTGATGGGAAATGTAATAAATTACCTTTACCTTAAGATCATTCGCACCTGACGTTTAATTTATTTATTCAATTTTATTTTATATTTTAGAATATTATTATTAAAATATTATTAATTATCTTACCATTTGGTGCAAGAACATTCAACCTTTGCGCTAATTTTTTTTTTTTAAAAAAAAATATTTTGAAATAGTGATTAATTAGTTATTACCATTTGATATAAAAGCATTCGAATCTGACGTTAATTTATTATTATTATTATTTGAAATTAATATCATAGGCTTACCTGCAGAATTAATATCTCGTAGAAAATTTAATGGTAAACCCATGCATCCAAATAATCGTTTATTATTTGCTTGAAACCCATACCATATTCGTACAGAAGCTCAAAGTGAAGCTAGTTTAACAAGTTTGGTCAAAAAAAAGTAACCATGTCTATCAAGTCAAGCCACTTTCTTATCAAATTTAGACTATGTATGGGAATATGGTATTAAAAAGTCATTTGATGGTCGAATAAGAATTGAAAGAAATCACAGAAATTTTTTATAATTCTCTTGAAAACAGTCCGCCTTTAAAAAACGGACGGACATTCCAACCATAACAGATAATAGATCTTACATTTAGCACTCAAACATTGTCACCATTCTCGATTATGTCATGATTTTGTAAACAATATCGTCATGAAGATATGTTTGCTAAAGTCACCATAGAAAGGGAAGATTATATTAATAGAATGCAATGTTCACAGAAACTGGGTAGGTGTTAAGAATCCTTTAAAAGTACCGCATTCTTTGCTCGAACAAAGTTATATAACAAAAGGACCCAACGTATCGGTCATTGGAATGGCGTTTGGATAAGAGTAAAAGCAATCGTGCATAACTCGTTCAAAGGTGTTTATTATTATATAAAATTATTATATAAATTTCAATTTAATTCCTAAAATATTGGTTTAAATGATTTGCTCGATATCACTGAGCATTTATTAAGTACGATTATTATAGAACCTAATCAAAGAATCACATTAGAACTTTTAAATGCATATTTAGGTTATGTGGAACACAGTCAACTTTATTTAATTTCCATGGTTTTTAAGAACTAGAAAATATTTAATGAAATTTTGGAGAAACTGAAAATATTGCAATATTATGCAACAAATATTTTGTAAATTTCTCAAACCCTTTAATAAACACAATTCATAGTTTTATAAACCACCAATCGATTCAATTTTAATGATCCTGATGCGTGTCATTTGTTGGTAAAGTGATTCAATCGTAATTTATCAATACAAAAAAATTTTAAAGAAGCCTTAAACGCAGCATATTGAATTAATATATTTTTTTTTAAAAAAAAAAGACCTTTATGTTAATAGTTAATTTCAGTCGTATCGTAATAAAAAAATTCAGATTATCCGGGTTAATTCAGATAATTAAGATAATTTAATATGCCGGAAAATTATATAAAAATTTATTAGATTTCGAAAAAAATTTTAAAAAGCGTGATGTAGATTTTCGTGGCAATAAAGTTTTCATTAAAAAAAAATTCGTAACGATGCGAAAATAAAATTTGTTAAAAAAAATTCGTTACAATGCGAAATTTCTTAATATTCTTAAAAAAAATTCGTGCTGAGAAGTTTTGTTAAAAGAAAATAAAGTGAATAATCAAATTGTAGGACATTCCTAAGCTAATGAGACGAAATGGTAATCATAACGTGATTTAACCCATATGACTATTATCAGTTAAGTGGACCAATAAAAAAAATTTTATCATTTTCCCCCCTTTTCTATTGCCCAATTTCTTTTCGTTTAAGATCGGCGTTCGTTACATTGAAAATTGGATGATCCCGGATGATTCGAATTATATTTCATTCGAATTAAATTTCTTTTCGAATTTATTCGGATCATTCGAATCAGGCTAACTCGTCTTTTTCTGAATCTAAATTTAAATTTATAATTAATTACTCAATTATTACGAATCATACATTTATTCTTAATTAGTATTTTCGTAATGTAAATTAAAATTAAAATTAATACGGGTACGATTTTTTGGATTGGTTGAGCGATATAGATCCTCTATTATTAAATTATTTCTAAAATAAAAGGAATATAATTTAGTTTCAAATAGAATGACACCAGATAAGTTAGATACAACGGGAATATATTCTATGCCGATCTCGAAACATATATATAAATGTTTATTTTTCGACAGAAAAAATTTTTTCACAGTTACAAAATGTAAACCCATCTGAGGTTAGATTATGAGATACCTTTGTAGAATTGGTATAAAAATGTGCGTCGTACTCGTTGATGTTCAGTAAGGTGGTGTCGCATATTGTTAACTTATGATAATCCAAGCATGAACCGATGAAATAATGATTAAAATGAGAAACGGCAATGTTCGATACGTTTTTACTCAATGTTACTATGTACAGATGTACACCAAATGTGGATGGTCCTTTGACCTAAAACTAGATAATTCTACAAGGACGGTTAAGTCAGTTGCTAGTGAAAAGCTTCCGTGAAGGCATCTCATACACGTGGTCAGTTGATCTGCAAACCAGTTTGAATCCTATCCTTTCTTTTAACCTTGCTATGCAATATTGTAAAATAATTACAACGTAGACAACAACACGAAATAACCAGCAACGATGTTAAAAATAATTTGATTGTGTCTATGCTTATTCCAATATAATGTATAATGCAACATCTATTTTTAATTTTGGACTTTACCTTTTATCAGAATCTCTATCTAAGAATTAAATATTCTCTTAGTAACATTTCTGCAAATATTATTTATCACCTGACTTTATTATAATCATGCTCAATTTAATTTTGATTTTACTGGCACACTACAGTTATTAATTCGAATTTCCTCAAAGTAGGAACAATCTTTGTTGACTCAGTTTTTGGTGTTGTAGTAGATGGTATATTTTTATAAAAAGAATAATTCTCAATTTTTTATTATTTTTCATCAACAAACTTTTATTGATTAAACATGGAACCACATTAGAACGAACTGTATCAGTAAAGGACTTTTATTACAAAGTGCCTTTGATGTCAATGGCGAATTGAAAAATACTTTTAAAGTTTAGTCATGATAAAGATTCTTATATGAATATTGTTATTATAAAATTATGGTTAATGTTGTTATTTATGTATTCACTCCTTCATCTTATTGGATTGCAGCACCTTTTATTATTTTAGCAAATATATTGATTTTTCATTTGATTTTTAACCTATATTAGTTTTTTCGTTCGTTTCATTCGAAAATCAAATAAAAACTGAAATTTTAGATTGACTTCATTATTTGTTAAAATTATTTATTTATGTATATATTCACTCCTTCATCTTATTGGCTTGCAGCACCTTTTTATTATTTTAACTAGTATATTGAATTTTTCATTCGATTTTTAACCTATATTAGTTTTTTCGGTCGTTTCTTTCGAAATCAAATAAAAACTGAAATTTTATTTACTATTCATTATTTGTTATGTTTTGTTATAAAAAAAAATTGGCCGGAGTTATTGATAATTTGGTTAAATTCTGATTTTGACCAGAATTAAAGAAATCCGGATTCCCAAGTTGTGTTCGCCCTTTCCGCCGCTAGTAACCATTCTTCAGAAAGGTTAGGCACTTTAGCAAGGAGCTGAAATTCCCTTACCTAGGAGTTTAAGTTCATTTCCACAGTTCTCGTTTCATATTCTCGCTTATAATCTCGCCCTTATTAATAAACATTTAACTTAGTTCATTGGTTTTTATTTATATATATACATATATTCTCTCGTTTTCTATCTTTTTTTTATTTTTATATCCTATAGCATTTGCCAAGTAATAAACCAAAGGCTTGTTTAATAGAAATTTTTTATTTATATGGTAAGTATTCTTTAATTATTTTCCTAACAAACCTCCCAAATAGCATATATATTTTGTGAAAAAAAGAAAGTGGGCTAAATTCTACTGTAATTGTTACAGATCCAATGGACCGAAAATCGGTAATTACATTTCATCGACTCTTTAACGGGTCATTTTAGTGATCTTAAGTTTCCACTCGAATTTCGTTTGTAGAACTTGATTTTTGATATTTTAATCAAACTCATTATAATGCATTACTGTACTGTTAATTTAACATAAAAAAAAAATTTTTTTAAGTGGTGCAAATTATAAAAATTGACTTATTATATTAATAAATATAGTATATTCGATGACGATTCATTTGAAGTACGCAGTATATTGAAAATAAATTGTGAAAATGCATAATAATGTGAAACAATACTGTGACAGTTATTTGCAACCAGACGTTACATATCGGGATGGATGTTAGATTCTCTTTTACTAGGAACGTATAAATAATACTATCCAGTAAAGTGGTAAGAACAATCGCATATTCGTCGATCAGGAGATTCAATACTTTAAAAAAATTTTTCTCGGTAAACCCCTGATCCAGGTTTAAACAGGTTTTTTTTTTTAAAAAAAAAAGTACATTTCCTAATAAGTAAAAATTAACAAACGTCAAATGTCATCGCCTTAAGAACAAAGATAATAAAAAAAAAATAAATCAGAAAAAAAAAGAAAAAAAAAAAGGTTCGGTTATAATAATATTTAGAGAATTTTTATAAAAATTTATAGGCGACGCAAAAACTCTCATTGATGACGCGCAAACACGAGATCATTCTGCAGTCGGAGGTGTTTAAATTTTTTAATACTTGCTAAATTAATTAATAATAGATATGGGATGGACTAAAAATATATCAATTGTAACGGATCTTACATCATTTTTTTTCTTTCATCTTTTTTTTTATTATAAAAGAAATAGCAAAGCTTTCAAACTCTTAAGTATACTTTTTCTTCTCGTACGTGCTAAAAACAACGCCCACATTCCAAACAACTTACTATTTTAGCTGAAACTTTTCGAGCGAGATTCCAACATTTTCGTGCTTTGACAAGGTATTTTTTAAATTAGTAGTGGTTTTCCATCCTGGTTACGAGCTCAACAATATTCGCGAAATATTGTTGACCTACAGGTTCGATATACCCGGGATGTTCATTTCTATAGACAAGTATTACCCCAGTTCTATAACGTATTGATAAGTAATTATCTTTACGTGGTCGTTCCTTTAATACATCGACTCTTAAGATCTGACTCCCAAACGCCCTTAGCATGAATTCCTTACTCTTCAATAATACTTAGATTACTAATTTAACATTATTCTTTTTTTTTTATCATACTAATAGGCGTACTGGTAGAATCATGCAAATTTGAACCTTTCTCTCAATTGGAATTATTTGAACGCGCTATTCCCATGTCTTTTTGCCTTTGCCAAGGTATTTATTGTATTGGTAGTGGTTTTCCATTCTGGTTACGAGCTCAACAATATTTGCGAAATATTGCTTGACCTACAGGTTCGAATACCCGGGATGTTCATTTCTATAGACAAGTATTACCCCAGTGCAATATCGTATTGATAAATCTTTACATGGTCGTTCCTTTAATACATTGACTCTTAAGATCTGACTCCCAACCGCCCTTAGCACGAATTCCTTACTCTTCAATAATACTTAGATTACTAATTTAACATTATTCTTTTTTTTTTTATCATACTAATAGGCGTACTGGTAGAATCATGCAAATTTGAATCCTTCTTGAAATTTATTTGAACGCGCTATTCTCATATCTTTTTGCGCTTTTGACAAGATATTTGTTGTAATGGGTAGAAAATTTCTATTCTGATTACGAGCTCAACAATATTCGCGAAATATTGTTGACCTACAGGTTCGAATACCCGGGATGCTCTTTCTATGGACAAGTATTATCCCAGTGTTATAACGTATTATTAAGTAATTATCATTACGTGGTCGTTCCTTTAATACATTGACTCTTAAGATCTGACTTCCAATTGCCCTAAGCATGAATTTCTTGCTCTTTCAATAATATTAAATTTTTAAATCTAATATTTTTCATTTAATGGGTAGGTATTCAGCGGCGGGTAGTGGATTCTCAATGTTAACTTTTCACAGTCCAAAATACAGGAGGCTGGTACACGTACTACTATTAATAATAAGTACTACGTCACGAATTTATTTTTTGAAAAAAAACTTCTATTGATTTTTTTCATTATTGAAAATTCCAACTAGCAGGAAGAGATAAGTTTTATTTTTATCACTATGAATATAAGAAACTCTGATTTTTAGATATTCAAACATTCCTTATCATTCGCTTTATTTTGCAATATTTATTATCTAATTGAATATATAAACTATATAACAGTGACCGAGTGATTTCTATTTTTAACCTTTTAACTTTTTTGAGTTGGATTGTTTTGGATCACATCAATCAAAAAATTTTTTCAGTTATAGTAACTTTCTAGACTTTTCATCATATCGTACTGTATCAAATAAATAAATGTAAGTATGTTTGTTTTTTATTTTTTTATTTTTTTTGTAATATTTGATTTTTTCCTGAAATTTTATTAATTGATTCTGATGGAGACTGAGAACGTTTTATGAATTGGGTATATGGAAACTGGCTCAGTACAATTTGCTTGATCAGTACTATACTGGTACTATAATAGACATTATTTTAGAACCAGTGGGGTCAATACGAATTTAAAAAATTCATACCAATTTGAAAATCATACTGCGGTATGATAATAATTAATATTTTTAATATCTAGCGGTAATATTTCAGTTTATCAAAATAATTTTAAATAAAGGAAAGGCATTGTTAAATACAAAAATAATAATTTATTTTAGTCTGATGTATTTGTCTTCAATAAAATTTTTTTTTGAATAAAAATGACTATATCAATTTTTAAATCGGATAAAAATTTTATCGTACCATACCAATTTTATAATACCGCCAGTTTTCTATTACTCATAATCAAAATTGAAAGCGAATCAATCAAATCAATCAAATAATTTTAGATTCTTATTGGCTATTTTTTCATTTTAGTAAAGGGTAATGCAATTAATTCCAAATATTAGCAAATTAAAAAAAGATAGCAAAAATCTTGATTTTTGACTTTTGAATATATCATTTTGACTTTCGATAATTTATTGATTTGTTATAATTTTGATAGAATACGTCAAATATAAAAGAGAATTACCCGTAATTTTATTTTACTGGAACCATTACTGCTAATATTAATGCTATAAAAAATGTTTAAAGAGATTTGTGAAAAAAAAAATTGGACATTAATTCCTCAATTATTAGATAAGTTAGTTATAATTAAAGTAAAATGTTATTTTAATTATATAAAATAATTTTCTATAGTTAACTATTTATTTATTATAAATTAACATATTAATTAATAAGATTTTAATAAAATATAAAAAAAATAATAAATATATGATAATAAGAAATATAAATCAAATTAAAGCAAATTAATAAAATTAATAAAGTCAGATTGATTAGTAAAATCAGAAAATTATAAAAATTAGACAATAATTGTTTATTAATAACATTATAATCACTGAAACCTATATTTTATAAATTATTAATTACTAATATTTTTTGAGTTATAAACTTCAATATAACTTGTATATAAATATTATTAAGAGAATTTTATTAATATAATTTATTTTTAAATAAAAGTCATGTTTTATTTATTATTTTATTTATTACAAAGTATTCTTAATAATTAAATATAATTTTTCGAATATAAATTATTTAAAAGATTATTTTCATATAGTTATTAAATTATAATATTTTCAAATTGTATACATATAGTTTGGTATTTATTCTCTTTAAATAAAATTTCAAAGTATAATTTTTTTATATTAAAAGTATTCATTATTTATATTTGTTTAATATATAATTATTAATACTATTTTCTTAATATTTTATATAAGTATTTTTATATTTTTTAATATTCTTAGTATAATTTATTTTAAGAGAAATAATTTTATTTAATTAAATATAATTTTCTAAATTAAATATAAATTTTTATAATATATTATTAAAATATTATTTAAAATAATTAAATATTATATTTATAATTAATTCTTAATAAGATTTTAGTTTGAAAATTAAAGTTTTAAAAGTTAAATAAAATATATAGATTTTATTTTTTTATATTTATTTAGACTAAAAATATAGTGAACTATATTCTTTTATTATATTTTTTTATTATATTAATTTATTAACCTATTAAATTTATATTATTATACTTATATAGTTATTTTATATATATTATTATTTTACTATATTTTTTAAAATTATAAAAATTATTAATATTATTTTAATTACTTTAAGTTTTTTATATTTTCACACTCTGATTTTATTTAATTCATTTAATATTTTATTTATTTATTATTATATTATATACTTTATATTATATATTTAATATTTTTAGTTTTATAATATTATATTATTTAAAATTATTAATATTTAAATTTCTTATTAGCACTGGTCGAAATCAAAAAAATCGGACATGCGAAAATCAGCCTAAAATCAGCCTAAATTCGGCCTAAATTCGGCAAATTATCAAAATCAGCC